CCCTGAGCTGGCTGCAGTTACTGGTTAACCCCCTGCTGCTGCCCCCACCACGTGCTGTCAGAGGCCAGGGGAATTTGGACTCCTCAGCACTGGTTTTTTGTGTTTGCTGTCAGCATGCAGATTGTTCCCGTGGTTCTGCTCCCTTCCCGTTTTCTGCCAGTTTCTAACGCAGATGGTGGGGCCAAAACCGACCAGAAACTGCAGTTTGTCGCTTCTGAAGCTCATAAAATGCCCCAAAGTGTTTGCCAGGAGCACAGAGACGGGGATTCCACCTCTTCTCTGCTCCTCCCCCTCCCAGAGACCCCGTGGTTTCCAACTGTTCTGGGTTGGAAACAGAAAGAAATTAAATTAAAATGAAATGAAAGACAAAAGAAATGAAATGAAAACATCCCCCCCTTCGTGCCTGACTGCAGAGCCTGGAGTGCTGCAGCTCTCCCATCCAGGCTGGGATCAACACACTGGGCCAGCAGACACACCCTGTGCCTTCAGAAACCAACCTGCAGCCCTTGGGGGCGAGCTCCAGGCTTTCCCTCACTGAAAAAAAAAAAGCTGGAATTTTGTTGCTGGTTTTGCTACAAGTAGAATTCAGAGGGAGCAACACCAGCAGCACACGAGCCTCTGCAGGGAAGGAATTACCCTCGTGGATTTACTGGTGAATAAATTCCGTCCTCCTGAGGCTTTCCAAGCGAGTCCCACCCGAGCCTTTAGCGCTGGAGCAGTGACCTCAGGTGGCAGATGCACAGAGGACACAGCAGGAGAGCGAACCTCACCGGGCAAGACAAGCAGCTGAAGAGCTTTAGGGAGCACCAAGGTCTCGGGAAGAGGCCCAGGTCACGTTCCTGGGGTGTCACAGCCACCACAGCACAATGGACAACCCTTTGTGAAGCCGCTGTCCCCCCCCTTTGCCATCCTGGAGCTGCTCTTACCTGCCATCTCTACTGGGAGTGCTCCCTGCTGAGGTTTCAGACAGAGCAACAGACCTGTTGGACACAGAAAAACCAGGTCAGCGACGTGGCAGCACCCAGAGACCCCCCTGGAACTGGGGGGAGTCCCAGCACAGCCTGTGACAGAGCCTGGGGCTCCCACTACGAATTGCTCATCTCCAACCCCCCCAAAGCAGCGAGTTTGGAACATCAGAGAAAGGGTCCTGATTTCTCCTCGTTCACAGGGAGCTCTGGCAGCTTTGTCTCATCCAGCAGCAAACAAATGTGCTCTTGGCAGCCCCTGGCAGAGGCTGAGGATGCTCAGGGAGCCCCTGCAGGAACATCTGCACCTCCCAGGTGCAGCCAGGCGGGTCAGGGTGGGACCAGCAGAGCTCTGGCATGGGAGAGACGTTTGTGAACTCACCAGACTTAGAACTTCATTTAGGTGTTGAGATGATTTGTGGGCTCCTGGCTCTCTGTGGTCTTTCCCCGCTCCTGGAACAAACAGATGATCCCTGTTTAGCCAGGCAAAACAAAAAAAAAAAATATTCAGCTGGCACCAAAGCCAACACCCCTCACAGTGTTTTTTAACCCTTCCTAAAACACAGATTCATTCCTCCTCCTGTTGCCTCCACCTGCAAGTCTGGCAGGAGCAAACCCTGGGAAGCTTCCCCAGCACCAGCTGTGCTGCTGGTTTTGGCAGAGCTGACCCCACAGTACGACAGGCACGGGGAGGTCTGTGCTGAGCTTCCATCCCACCCCTTCCTCCTCACGGGTGGGACACGTTGTGTCCCCACCTGCCACCTCCAGGACGCAGTCCCAGTTTCTGGGACAAGTAATTTCCCTACAGAAAGATGTGGTCTGGACCCACAAAGCAGCACTAGGGATATTTCCTTCTGCGAGGACAAGCACACACAGCCAAGTTTTATGCTGGATAATCAGTAATATCCAACCACATGTGGACTCGGGCAAGATAACAACACTTAAAACCATGGAATGGTTTAGGATGGAAGGGACCTTAAAGTTCATACAGTCCCACCCCCTGCCATCGCCAGGGACACCTTCCCCCAGCCCAGGTTGCTCCAAGCCCCGTCCAACCTGGCCTTGGACACTTCCAGGGATCCAGGGGCAGCCACAGCTTCTCTGGGCAATCTGTGCCAGGGCCTGCCCACCCTCACAGGGAAGAACTTCTTCCTAATACCTAACCTAAATCTACTCTCAGTTTGAAACCACTTCCCCTTGTCCTGTCACTACACACCCTTGAAACAGTCTCTCTCGATTTACAAATCAACTCACTATTCTCCAGAACATTTTCAGTTTAACTGGGAATAGACAAAATCCAACACCCTGCAATCCGCTGCTGAGATTTTTTTCATCTCTAACCCACTGCTTGTGGAGGGAGGAAAATCCCACACCCGCTGAGGAAACCACGGTGTGAAGTGAACTTCCTTTTTCCAGTGTGTTCATCCGTGGTCAATGAATAACTCCAAAGTCTACAGTCCAATGCACATGACTCAGGAGTCCACTGGAGACAGTTGGAGCTTTTCTTCACCAGGATCTCTCAGACAAAATGCCCAGTGTCAGTTCAGGGGACACCATTTCCCTCCTAACTCAAGACACGAACGCAAGCGGGGCTGTTTGTCCAGGCAGAGAACAACGCGAGTCCTTTCACTGGGACTCCTCTGGGAAATGTTTCACCACCTCAGAGTAGGGAAAATCTGGACTATCACAGAATCCCAGAATATCCTGAGCTGGGAGGGACCCACAGGGATCATCCAGCCCAACCCCTGGCCCTGCCCAGGACACCCCAACAATCCCCCCCTGTCCCTCAGAGCGTTGTCCAAACGCTCCTGGAGCTCTGGCAGCCTTGGGGCCGTGCCCACTGCCCTGGGGAGCCTGGGCAGTGCCCACCACCCTCTGGGGGAAGAACCTTTCCCTGAGATCCATC